GAATATTCTGCAAATTATATTCTCCAAAATCATTCATAATGCATTCTTAATACTCATAAAAAATCCCAACTTCCTAACTTTAAAAACACCAAAGTTATGGCATTTCCAATCGTTCAGTTATATGGCAGTTATAGAATATAGTCGGCCGATCCTTATGAAATTTGATATGTCGGATTGATTAGGCAAAAATAAAACCCATAGAAAATCCCAACTTCCTAACTTAACAAACACCAAAGTTATGGCATTTCCGATCAATCAGTTATATGGCAGCTATAAGATATAGTCGGCCGATCCTTATGAAATTTGGTACGTCTGATTGATTGGCCAAATATAAAACCCATAGAAAATCCCAACTTCCTAACTTTACAAACACCAAAGTTATGGCATTTCCGATCAATCAGTTATATGGCAGCTATAAGATATAGTCGGCCGATCCTTATGAAATTTGGTACGTCGGATTGATTGGCCAAATATAAAACCCATAGAAAATCCCAACTTCCTAACTTTACAAACACCAAAGTTATGGCATTTCCGATCAATCAGTTATATGGCAGCTATAAGATATAGTCGGCCGATCCTTATGAAATTTGGTACGTCGGATTGATTGGCCAAATATAAAACCCATAGAAAGTCCCAACTTCCTAACCTAACAAACAGCAGAGTTATGGCATTTCCGATCAATCAGTTATATGGCAGCTATAGGATATAGTCGGCCGATCCCGGCCGTTCCGACTTATATACTGCGTGCAAAGGAAAGAAGGGTGTGTGCAAAGTTTCAATTCGATATCTTTAAAACTGAGAGACTAGTTCGCGTAGAAACAGACAGACGGACAGACAGACGGACAGACGGACAGACGGACAGACGGACAGACGGACAGACGGACATGGCTATATCAACTCAGGAGGTGATCCTGATCAAGAATATATATACTTTATAGGGTCGGAGATGTCTCCTTCACTGCGTTGCACACTTTTGACCAAAATTATAATACCCTCTGCAAGGGTATAAAAAGAAAAGACAAATTTGAAAGCGCAAAAAATTGGGATTGCAAACTCATCCAATTTGATGGACCCATAATGGGCTGTGTTTGGTGACCGACCTATCTTTAACCATTTTTAAACCTTTTCTGGATAAAAATAGCATAGCAATCGATAAGCAAAAGATCGATTAGGCCAATGATTATTCCATTTAACACATAACACTCAAAACGGGGCAACCAATAAAGGGAAAAGGGAAAGCAGAGAAAAGTCAATGGAGTTATCATCATCCTGAGAGGTGTTCGACCAAAGTTCTAATCAAAATATTGAACGTTGTTTTCACAAAAAGAGGGGAATGTAAAAAACCAAAAACTAAGAAATCACGCAGAAGAAACGGAGTGAAAGGACAGCCAAATTGGAAAACGAAACAAAACAGAGAAGAAAAAACACAACTAAATTTGTAAAACCGTTAGTATTATGTCGTGTTCACCCCATCTCCCCTTCTTCTCTCCCTCCTTGTCGTCTTCTATCTCTGGCTTTTGACCAGGTCGATTATGAAAGATACATTTTGTATCTGTATCTGTGCTTTTTGGTAGCTGTGTTTTAGCCATTTGTTTGCATCAAAAACCATCGTTTTACCATTTTGTAGTTTTTACACATTTTTCTGGCTCTTTCTTGTTCGGCGCTTCGATTCGTTTGCATTAATCCAATTTGTTGTTCTTGTTGGCGTTTTGTGTTATTCAGTATGTGGGTGTGAGTGTATCCAAGTGTGGGTGCTAATTCAATTAGCGGCATTAAATGATGCGCTTTAATGCTATCGATATTGCGGCACAGTTACCTATCGATGCAATTAACATTTTTAAAGTAAGTCTGTAAACAGTCGTTTTCAAAAGGAATAAAGCATAAAAAGAAAATTCTAAGTTCAGATGATAAGACGATACTATATCATACTCTATTTTATCTTAATTGACCTTGGAAGTTTTGGGAACTACAGATTTAAAGCTTGATGTTTGTGGGATTATAATCCAATTTTTTTTATTGTATAACTTCTCGTCGTCAACCTCGCGACTTAAGCTACATTTTTTATTTATTGGTTTCCCCATAAAATTAGTGCCCCGCTGTTAAGTGTTAAGTGCTCCCTGAGCAGCTAGAAAGAAGATAAAAAGAAATATGTAGGCCTAAGCCAGGTCTGAAATCGAGAAACAGTAACTGGTCATAAATGAGAGCGAAAGGCAGAAAGAAAACTCGACTAGCTACACTCACTCGCATATCTCTGCGTACACCCCAACAAAATTTCAAAATCTAACTTTAAACCCTAGCTGTTCGGCCATTTATGCATATATTCAACCCATTCTTTTTTTAAACATAATTATAATTTATTGTCTTTATTGACGTATTTTTTTTTAAATTATTCAACAGTGTCTTATATTTTATTTTTATTTTTAAACTTAACACTACCAAAAAATGTACCCACAAAAGTCTGCGTACACCTGTTTAAAACACAAATAATATTATTTTCAGTAACTGGTAGGGTATTCTTTTCTCTGCAAAACTTCCGTAAGGCGTCTCGGGATGGAATCCACTTTTTTTTTTGTCTCATTTGCAGTAATTTTCCCCTACTCCTCGAGAATCACATTCTTGAGCATTTTTTTAGATGTTATCGTGTGTCTTCGGATTTTCCTCTCAAGAAGATCCCAAAAATGCTCATTTGGGCTTAGATCAGGACTTTGGGGAGGTGTTCGCAGCTGATTTATGACGTTATACAGCAGCCAAAGCTTGGTATTCTGCGCCGTATGCTTCGGGTCGTTGTCTTGTTGGAACCAACATTCACTTTCGAGCCCTAATTTTTCAGCACTTTCTTTTAAATTGTTTTTTAATATGTCAATATAGATTTTCTGATCCATTATTAACTCGATAAATACCAATTTTCCAACGCCACTTGCTGCCATACACCCCCACACCATTATTCCGCTTCCTCCTTGCTTTACTGTGCCAACCAAATTTTCTTAATTTGAGGCTTCTCCGCTTTTCCTCCATACCAAAACCTTTCCCTTGATTCCAAATATGCAGAATTTAGTTTCGTCGGGAAATATAATCTTATTCCAGAAGTCTTGGTGTTTGGAAAAATACTCATTAGTAAAGGTTAGGCGCTTATGTCTATTGACTTCCGATATGAGAGGTTTTTTGCGGGCGACTCTGCTATGGTAGTCAGCCTTTTTTATGGTCCGGCGTACAGTATCTTCGGAAACTCTTTTGGAAAATCTATCCTCGACCTTCAGCTTTGCCTGGTGAGCTGTCGTCCTTGGGTTGAGCTGAATAGATTTGATAATATTCCTCTGCTCGCGGATTATAAGCAAAGGCGGACGGCCAGAACGACCCTTTGGCAAGATACTTCCAGCTGAGTTGTAGTTATCTATCACTCTTTGGATGGATGAGTGGGTTCTACCAACTAAAGCACCAATTTCTCTATAAGATTTTCCATCCAAAAAACCTTTTAATATAATTTTCCACTCCTCAACAGAAATTTCCTTGCCTTTTTGTTCCATGTTGCAATATGCTCGTTATTATAATGAAAAAGTTTCATTTTAACTGCGTAATGTCTATTTTTAGGCATTCTAAAGTAGATCGGCGACAACAAAATTAACGGAAATCGCACAATCCTGCATTCCTCGAAGTTGAAAACTGCTGTACGCAGACTTTTGCGCGTACACTTTTTCGTAGTGTTAGGTTTAAAATTAAAAATAAAATATAACCCCCTGTTGAATATTTCTAATATTTCTACGTTAATGAAGACAATAAACCATAATTTTGTTTAAAAAAAGAATGAATAAAATACATGCATAAATGGCGAAACCATTAATGTTCAAAGTTAGATTTTGAAATTTTTTTGGGGTGTACGCAGAGATATGCGAGTGAGTGTAAGTGCAATGCCAACCGCATTTGTTTTTTATTTTTCATGGCGCCCCAAGCATATTTACATTCTTATTTTACAAAAAACGAGAAAGGGAACAATTCTAAGAGCCGAATTCCATATACCCTTTTAGCTGATTTCTTGCAAAGTTTCACCCAAAAATCTTTAAAACTGAGGGACTAGTTTTCGTAGAAGCGGACAAAGAGACGGACATGGCTAGATCGACTTTATGGGGTCGGAAATGTGGCCTTCACTGCATTGCAAACTTTTTCCTGAAATTATAGTATTCCCTGCAAGGGTATAAAAACAAGTCATAAAGACTCTCTAATTATGCGAGCTTTTCCAGTTTTTTTTTTATTTTTCCTTTCAGCTCATTATGTCAGCAGTTTTTATGGTCAAATAGACACCCAACTATTGTAAATCACTCACATTGATGTCTGCGCGTTATTCCAACTTTTTGTTTTACAAATTTTTTTCTCCAAATCACCCGGCAAATGGATCAGTGGAGCAAGCACGGGAAAAGTAGAAAACTGACCAAGATGACAAGAAAATATTTTCTATGTTCTGCAACTTTCGATTTTACACTAAGAAGGGAGAAACGGCGAAAAAAAGAGAGAATGTGTGAAATGCGATCAAAGGTAGAATAAAGACGAGTGAGACTAGTGTACTACATATGTACATATATAACTTAAGAATATACTACATTCGACAGCACATTAGAGGTACAGTGAATAATGAAAGGGTTAGTTTTAATTTACGGATTAGTTTCCCTTTCCAATTCGTCCAAACACGGGTTAAGAAACGATGTTTAAAATCCGAGGTAAGTTAGGATTATAATTTTATAAATGCTGATTTCGACTTCATCAAGATCTGCCTTTAAAATTCCATCCAAAAATTTTCTCTTCTCATTCAAAAAATTACAGAAAAAGGAAATAATTCCTTGCCAAAATGCTCTCTTAAATTTTTTTTTTATTATTTTAAGAGAAAAAACAAAAGCGGTTTTCTAGAAAATAACAACAATTAAATACTTAGAGAACGTTTGCGCCTGCGACATTTGGCTTGCACCTACTCAAAAGAAAAAACAGGAGGCAAAAGAAAACATTTTACTCACCTTCTCCTTGCTTCCACTTTTCCAGAGAGCGAGAGAAGCAGCTGCCTGGAATGATCCTCCACTCTCCTGGCTTTCCAGTGCGTGTGCGCAACAACTCCAGCTAATTAAATGCTGGAAGCCTGCTGCTTCTTCTTCTATCTCTTCCTCTTCTCTTTTGATGCTGCTTCTTTGGCTGTTGTTGTTGGGAATCCGGTTTGTTGAATTTCTTTCAACTTGTTATATCTTATTTCTCTTTTCTTATTTGCCTCTCCTCTCTTTTGTTGTTGTTGTATTTTCCAAAAAATAAAACTATAAACAGCACAATCCACTCGAAAAAAAATTAAATCATTTTGGTAATACAACAAAAAAACGGCACTTCAACCATTCTATTCAGAATTTTTGTTATTTTATTCGATTGATCAGTGAGATAAAAAAATATTGGTATTTCACACACAAACACACACGAGCGCGCGAGAGAGAGTGAGCGATAATAAACACGTGAACAAGCGAAGTCTTTTATTTTCCTCCTTTCTTTGTCCTTTACGTTTAATTATTTATAAATCTTATATTTGTTAGGCTTTAAAGTTTCCGTCGACTTAAATCAACAATCATCAAATGGAAAAGCAAAACCCGAGAGTCGGCAACAACAACCGTAAGTCTCGAATCGTAAATCGCGAATTTGCAAACGAAGAGCGACGCACAACCGCGCGCATTGAAATATTTTGTTCGACTGATTTTTGCCGTGTTTTTCGGTTTCGTGGTACCGGTTTTCTTGTGGTTGCAAGCGAACACGCAACCTCGTCAAACTTCTTCGAACCTCAACTTTTTACCGCCAGAGGACAAAAATATAACTAAATGGTGGCAAATATGCTAGAAACAAATTCAGCCATAACACAAGAAAAATAGTTTAAAAGACGTACAATATTAGAGAAAATCTAAAATGGTATTGAATCGGAAGAATTAAAAGAAACAAGAATACTAAATATGATTATGAACTTTTTTATTTATTGAAAGGGGATCCAACACACGCCCCTGAGCTGTCCAACAACTATCAGAACAATTTTTCCCAATTTTTAACCGATTTCAGTTTAATTATTTTTTTAATAAATTTCATCATCTTCCCTTTAACTATAACAAACAAATCCTTTTTAATGCTAATATATAATATGTTGCTCAAACTCAAACATTTATTTTAAGTGCGTTATGTTTAGCAGGGAGATTAATTTAATTTAATTTAAACTAATAAACGCCAACTTTTGAAAAGGTTTTTCACAACCACAAATGAAAGGCAAATTTACAAATTAAGTATCATGAAATATCACAAAATAGCTAAATGTTTGATGGCCAAAGTGGCATTACTGAATCCTGACCCGTTCAAGCAGTTTGTTGTTGCTCGCCGCGTTGACAGGCTCGAAGCTCCATCGAGCCCGGTTCGAAGCAGCCTCCTACGCGTGCGCAACTGTCAGTTGCAAGCGCAACAGTTTGATTGTTGTTGGGTACTTCGAACCGTTGAACAGGTTTGCTAACGCTGGAATCTATGTTAAGTTAACATTTATTTTTAGCCAACGTAATTAAATATTATTAGTTATTAATTATGAACTGAAGACAAAGGCAAATAGTTCGATATATTTACGTTTGAAATATGACCAACAACTAAGAGTTTTTGCATATTTTGAGAGTGTAGCGAGCATTTTAATGAGTTCGATGACATGTTTTATTAGTTTTTTATACTCTTACAGAGGTTACTTAAAATTTTATTATTTATTTTAATTATGTAGTATATTTTTTACTATCGCGCCGATCAAAATAAAAGAATAAAACAATAAAAATAAAACAATAAAAATAAAACAATAAAAACAATCGGTACAAACTTAGGTGTACCTATAAACATGCATAAGATATGGCCTATTTGAGAAGTTGATTTGTGTCTATCTATAACTGAAGGGTATTTAGTTTTCGGGTATGGGTTCCTTTTGCTTTTCCTTGCCTATTGCTCTTGACTTTGAGCCACCAAGCGTACTCGTTGCCATAAATGTTGTGTAATTAGGCGCGTATTGCATCCCAATTGGCATTTCAATTTGAATGAGTACGAAACAAAGCTATAGCTATATTTGCTGACCTTCAATAGGTGGCACTAGCCCCCGACAGCCGCCCCCAAGGTCAAGGTTACTGGCCAAACACCAAAAATGTTTAGTTCAGTTTCGTTTTGCATTTAGGTTTTTATTTTAGTTTTGTTTGACCTGCTCTTAACTCGAGAACTTCAAGAGTAAAGTGTATTATCGGGTTGTGGTTACCGTATAAATGTGAATAAATAAAAATGAATAAAATAAATAATCTTGTATCAAATATTTGGGGGCGACGATCTTTTCTTTTTGTCACTCTTTGCTTTTCTTACCATTTTTCGTTGCACTCTAGTGAGCTTAATTAACATTCCACATTTTATGGCCATTTGGCGCTTTTACCCCGCTCCTTTTTTTGTCTCTCTTTCTGGCACTTTCTATCCATCTCTTTTTAGCTGTTTTGCTTGGACGCGTGTGGGCTAGTTTCAATTAAGACCCAAAGAACCTTTGGCTTCCTTATGGTTATTGTTCTATTCCTTCTTATTTTTGTCGTCATGCTACGATCACCGCAGTTATTAAAAGCAAAAAAATAAAACAGTTTCAAACACACAAAAATTAAAATAAATATATATAAGCTAAAGAAGAATCAAAATATAAAATGCAACAAAAACCTCATAAAAAAATTTTATACATATAATAGACAACGAAGAATAAAATTTCAAGCGCCACACTAGAAAAAATTTAGTGCATTATACAGTGCTTACTTGCTATTATACAATTAAGAGGTTAAACAAATTTGTATTTTTTATTTAAACTCTTCTTTAATGTCATTTGACAATTTGTTCTAAAACCACGAGTAAATATTTTTTATAAAAAATCTATTTTCAACTAAACTGGAACTCTCTTAACTAGAACATTCTTAAATCTAATTTTCTATAACTCGAACAAAACTGAAGTGCAGTAAAGTTCGGCGATTACAAAGCGAGGTTCGCATTACGGAAGTTCAACTGTATAAAGGATCGCCTAAGCCATTTAACACTGAAGAACTACAGAAATTTTTCCTGCGGTCAAATCTCTTTTTTCCGCATACTTTCTCAATTTCTATATAAAAGCTCAGCAATTCGCGTCTAGATAGTACAAGCAAGTTTTTTGTGCCGGTCTTTTTATACTAGTGACCACTGTGCTCATAAGCAAATCACGTTAATCACTAGCTGAGTGCTCAAACGCTAAGCAAGTGCAGCGAGGCGTGGCAGGGTGGGCAAGAAGGGGGCAAAAGAAAAGCGAAGGGATGGAAGGAAAAGCGCTGTCCATGCGATGATTTCCCCCGTCGAAGCGAAATATCTGAAGGGGAAAAGAGCGAGAGTGTCTGGTCATTGTTTGGACTTTTGCTTTCGGCGGAGAAGGAAAAAGAAAACCCACAGCCAGGTGGTTAGGAAATTCAGAGAAAATTCGTTCAAAACTATTTGTTGTTTTTTTTTAGGAAAATTTATGAAGCTCATTAATGGCAATGTCCAAAGTGACAATTATCCTTATATGATGCTGTCTCTCTCCTTTCTTTCCCCCTTTTCTTAATCCTTATTATCTGCACTTTGCCAGCCTTTTTTTGACAGTTATAATTACTTTAATGATGATTTCAGCTTCAATTGACTTGTGGTGGAAAACGAGGAGAAAATGGGGGGAAATTTGTGTGAGCATTCAAGGGGGCGGACAGAAAGGGAATGTGTGCATTGTCTTTGTTTGTGAGCGCTTAAAATGCAATTATGCATTTCAGGACGAAAAGTGGCAGCAGGACTTTCGCTGGCTGGCTGAAAATAAATTTAATTGCAATGCGTTGGCAAATCGAATTATACAGTGTTAAAAGAACAACAAGTGGCACCCAAAACAAAAAACGAAAATAAAAAAATCAAGAGCCATTTCAGAAAAACCAAGCTTTTCGCCTGCGGCAACGCCAACCAATTGAATATATTAATGCAAATTAACCCATTAATGTCTGCCAATTCCAGGCAGAAAAGAGGGCTTAATTCGGAAAGAGGTGGAAGGAACAAACTGGCAATTATCCCAAGGAAATTCGAGCGGAGGAAATTAAAGCTATACCGGATACTACATATAGTTTTATACCATTTCATTTGCAGCAGCTTAAATTCCCTGGATTTACGATCGTACACCATGCTCTTCATTACGTTTTTATAATTTTCTAAAAGGGTTTGTTTTTAAATTATTAACTATAGAAAAGCAGTTTGTCCTCCCCAAGCCTTTCTTATTTTTCCTCCAAAACACTTGGCATTTATGCATACAATTATTCAATTAAAAAATTGCATACCCAAGGACATTAAAACAATTTTCCACCGTCCTCGTGCGCCACCCACAACTTTTGGGGCAAGAAAATTCGGAGGCGCTTCAAAGGGGGCCAATGGGTTTACGAGTGGGCGTGGCTGACAACAATGTTGGCAGCTGCATGGAAAACTTGGAAAACTTTTTAAGTGACTTCTAATAGCGAATTATGATGCAGCCAGCGGGAGGATGAAAGAAGGGTTAAGGAGCTAAGGGGGTTAGGGGGCTCAGGGGTTATGGAAAATGGAGGCAAGAAGGCGGCCAATTTTCAATGCACTGTAGGTGGCAAAAGTGGGAGGGTATATGTATGTATAAAGGAGCAGCAGCGAAAAGTTCACGCTTGAAACTTAACAGCGATAACTTCATTGAGGAGTGGAAAAGTGAGGGAAAATCAGGGGCAAAAACGAAAGAGAGGGAAACCACACACATGCCTAAGCGATAGAAAGAGAAGGGGAGATGCACTTGCCTAAGACCGGAAGTGCGAGAGGAATTTTAACAAAGTTAGTTAGTTTCTTCCTTCCTTCCTTCCTTCCTGCTCTTCTTGACTTTCAGATACACTCAAGAAATATAAGTATATAAGGTAAATTGGCCATCAAAAACATATATTTAAAAACACATTTTTTATAAGTTTTCTGTTGCAATTTTCCAAAATAAGACGCACAGCCAAAATATGACTCCTTTGAACCTTTACAATTAAGTTCAGGTTGATTTGGTAAAATTTATTTTTTGGGCGATTTTTGCATTTCTTATAAGGAAAAAACTTTTTTGCTGAGAACACCAATGGATTGGAAATTTTGTAACGAATTCAACGAGGTATGACATTTTAAGATCTTATCATTATTTCGTAGGAGTTTGATCAAAAACATATTTTATATAATATTATATATTATATATATATTATATTATATAAATTATATTATATATATCATATAACACAAATTTTTTAAGAGTTTTCTTTTATCTTTTTGTTAGCTTTCATTGTTCATTTCTGAAATATTCATTTCTGTTTTCTTCTAGTGGACAAGTTTATTTCTATGAGTGGATGTGTGGCTTGATATAATGACAAAGTGCACTCCGACATTATCATCATCATCAGTGAACGCATGTCGTCTGCCTCCCTTCTTCAGCCCCCTTCCACCCTTCCACCCACCCACTGATTTCACAGACCCTCAAAAAGTTGCTCGTTTTAATGAATTATGCGAACATTGATAATAATTTCCTGGTTAGCTTTTGCGTCGACTGCCATCCTCTGGCTTCTTTCGCCAAGTTGTTTTTTGGCAACAACCTGGAAAGGAACTTTGTCCCGCCCAGTTTCCACCCACCTGAA